AGATATATGGAAAAGAATATATCTCTGTTTCAAATAGAAACACAATTGGCATTCATTGGCCTTGATCGGTTTGAATCACCCGTATGTGATTAATCCAAATGCAAAATGTAAGTTATTTGCCCTCTACGACAAACGGTCTATCCTTCTATACGAGCATGTTCATAGTTTTCATGGTCTGGAAGACCGCTTAGCTACCCATTTAAAAGCACATTGTATTGACCTTTTATTTTTATGAATGACTGCTGCCGATCATTTGAATTTCTAAGCATTGCTTCAATCTAACACTTCAATCGATAATGAAAGTGAGACGACATCAGCATCAAAGCACCAAAACAAATAGATAGTTCAATAGGAACATCGAAATTTGTAGTTTTCCTTTAGATAAAATAAATGTGAGCGATTAATAGAAAACGATTAGAAATCGTAGATAGATCTTTGATGGGTTTGGGAACATGCTGGCCCCGGCTTTTGTTAACAACTTAGGAAGCCGATTCTTCTTCCATATGCTCAGCATTGCATTTGCACACACACACACACACACACACACACACACATATGCATATATATAAATATACACCTGAATGTGTGTGTTTTATTTACCAAGCCTAAGGCGAGTGTTGGAGTGGTCCTGGCCTAAGAGACGGACAGACAGACGGACAGAGAGTCGAGCCGCTCAGCTGGACAGACTAATATACAAAATAAGCGACAACTGCACTGAAGACGCTTTACAAAAACAAAATACAAAAAACAAAAACCATAATAAGAACAACAGCAACATCAACTGACAAAGACAAAAACGAACGAAGGAACAGAGGTGGAGGAGCAGCAAGAAGACAAACATTGCGGCGACAACGCAGCAAGTGACAAACGTTTAGATAGATGGATCGCTCTTCATATGGGACCGTGAGCGTGGACCGCTGACCGCAGCGGAGCGCACACCGGCCCGAACCGAGCTGGGGACCTAGCCGGGTCCGAGCAAATAAACCAACCGAAAAACGCGACGATTGCACATAAATTATATTCAAATTTCTTCAAGATCTAAAAGATATATAAATACGGAAAAAAACGCACACACACACATACAATTTATAGTACTCGCCGGCCCGGCTGCCTTCTGTGGCGTTTTTTAAACAAATTTTATTTTATATCATTTTATTCTTCTTTTAAAAAAAAATGTTATTCGTGTGCAGACTGATGTGAGAGTGTGTGTCGTAGCTGGCCTTTTGTTTTGAATTTATGCAGATATGCGCCTATCTACCCGTACATCGCATAACAACGCCGGTCGTGGAAATCCCACACCGCCAAAATCTAACCAACAGCCACAAATGAGGAATGACAACCAGGCAGCCATACCCACACACCTTGGGCCCCCGAGACCTTGGGCCTAGGGGCGTTTCTGTTTAATAGATGGGACTTCCTTGATTATATTTCAATACTTAGCAGCAAGCACATGAGCTTTCCTACAATACTTGTATGTGAATATTGAATATAAAGATCCGATTCAACATTGCGTCCTTGCGAATTTTCATTCCTATAAAGTTATGTCGGCTAGTAATATAAAAGGATATATATTGATCAACGAACTGAAGATCCTAGGCATAAGTTAACCGCACATTGAAATAATCATGGAATGCTACAGCGGAGCTCGCCCAAGTCCTGAATACCCTCCTGTGTATTTACTTGTATTTATGTGCGTCTAGGTGAGCCAAAGCAGCAGCAATACCCAAAACTGCTGGCAGAGACTACAGTTATGGCTTTAACTTTTTTTAAAGATGACCTCCCACAATAAAACTTGACATGAGAACGAATAAATGTAAGTGGCAGATTAAGTTTTACAAATTTAAGAGTTACAGGAGTTGTGGAAAATCATTAATGGTGCGGAACTGAGGAGCTGAAAAAAATACAAACTTGTCCTGCTTAGCGATTGGGGGAATATGAATAAAAAGTCTGGCTATTATAGCTCTTATACTTTCTAAGATCCTTGCGGACATACAGATATGGCTAATTTGCTAGCATTAAGCAATGACAGCATACTTAGTATTTGCTAACGAATTTTGTTATATATCGGCCTTTAAGGCCGATATATTTCTTAATGATCTATCTATTTTTGCAGATCTGAAAAGCTCCCAAGCTGCACCCACATTTATGATTTTGTTATTGAAGCGGAAACAATAGCAACGACTCTCATATTCCATTTTTCCAGATACTTTTGAATGGCGAAAGTTTTTCAATTTTATTTCTTCTCATATCTGACGCCATACGGTTATTGGCAAAAGGAATTAAATTAAAAACTATTTACTGAGGTTATTTCGAAGTCCAATTTGACTCTGCATAGCTTTTGGAAAATTGTGATTAATTAATTATTCTCGGTTAGGAAAGGAAAGGCACAAACATGTAGAGATTTAAGCTATAAAAAGTATTATATGTCTGAGGTACAACAACTAATGATAGATTAAATTAAAAGAAGTGATTAGCAATTGAAAACTTGTCCAGCTTTCGCAGTATTATTAGTTTTAAAGAATATTTAATATTCTTTCTGATATGGATGAGTAGCACCAGATCATAAAATTATTCCTCCTTCAGCAAAATTAAATTAAAAGTATGGTATAAACTGAATTTACTATTTAAGACTTACTACTTAGTATTGAAGAATGAAGGTTTTTTTTTAAAACAGACACATTATCGAAAATAATGTTAAACTGTCTTGGCTATAATTTAAATATGCCAATCAAAAAGGCGCATGCCTCAATATTTCTGAGATATGAGAAAAATGTTTGCGAAAATACATTTTAGAACAAATTCAATCAAGAACTCTTATTCCTGGGAAATTAGGCAAGTCAAGCAATTTGCCGCACAATCAGAAGAATGTCGTACATGCTCACACAACTCATTGACACTCTCAAAATTTGCATTCCATTAGACAACGAATTGCTGCGGAATTCGGAAAAGACACATACATACATAGTACATGTGTAGTATGTATTTGCGAACAAATTATTTGAATTGGGCAAATGGGAGAGACAGTCTGAAAGATGCTTTGATGTTTGGCTTGTCAACTAAGTGAAAAGTGTTGTTTAGAGACTGGCTAGCTGTTTATACATACAAGTATGTATGTATATATCTTTATAAGTATGTACGAGTATACAGAAATGTATTGCATTAGTACTTAGTCATTAATGCTCGGCTGCTCGGCGGCCATATTCTGGTACATAAATAACATGTGACTTTAACGTTGATTTTGATATTTGTTGTTGTTGTCATTGTTACTTTTGGCTTTGGCTTTGGCGTGCGCGATGTCAGCCATTTGATTGTTGCGACGACATTTTCACTCACTACTAAGTATATAGAATGTGTACAACATGCCTACTTTTATAAACAGCATACACACACACATACACGTAGTATGTATATACAAGTATGTATGTATGTAGTATGTGCATACTCAGTTATTTGGATACATACAGATGTATGTACACACAAATGTGTGTAGGAATGGATATTGTATGTCGGCCGGCTGCTTGCTTGGAAAGCTGTCAAAAATTGCCAACTGGCACATTAATCCACGCGACATATTTATGAGAGTGTGTGTTCATGTGAGCCTGCCTGCCTGCCTGCCTGTCTGCCTGCCTGCCTGGCTGCTTGCCTGCTTGCTTGTATGTAAAACTTTTGTTGTATCCGTAAGATATAAAGATATCGTATGCATTATACATACATACATATGTATGTACGAGTGTGTGCCTTTGTGTGTGTGTGTATGTGTGTGCTGGCAAACATGGACGAGGGTTGCTCTTTGCTAAATGAGTGCACATTTCAGATAAATTATTGCACACAACTTGTGCGACGACGGTCGGGGAGCAAAATGTATTAAACAAATTAAATTTACACACACAGACACACACTGATACATACATTCAGACAGAGAAACAGTGTGCAAACATCAAAAGGCCCACCGCAACCTCAACAGCAATACATAACAGCAACAACAACAACAACAATGGCACGGGCAATGGCGACGTGCATATTGAGAATTTGCCGACGGGCTTGCGCTCACAGCAGTCGCAAGAGAGGGCGGAGCTTAAACGACTCAGCAGCCAATGCAAGGGGCTGCTGCGCACGCTCACCCACACACAAGCACGCACAGAGAGAGAGAGAGAGAGAGGGAGAGAGCGCACATAGATAATCACACACACATTGCTGAGAGCGTTAACAAAGACGACGGCGCTGGCAGCAACAGGAGCTACAAAGGCGTTTTTTGGGGGACAGATATTTGTTCTGTGATTAAGAAACTGAGTAGCAGAAAAAAAAAACGGAAACTAACAGAAACCATAGATGCGCTCTAAATCGATACTCGTTACTTTTTTGTTGCTGTTGTTGTTGTTGGTGGAATGCTTGGCACGAGACATTGACGCTGTCTTGTCACGTGCAGAGCGGCATTGGATTGTTTGTTGTTGTTGTTGCTTTTCTATCTGCATCTTTATCTGCATCGGTTTTTGCAGCTGGGTGTAGGTGTTGCCCATTCATTCACGACTCGGTGCCATTTTAGATGGCGGCCAGATACAACGGCTGCATTGGACAGGCCGGCAACTCTACACTCTCGCACTCACACACATGCCAACAAACAAATAAACAAACAAACACTGCAATGCAGTTTGCACTTTTTTGTATGCATGAGTGCGTGTGTGTGTGTGTGTGTGTGTGTGTACTTTATCTGCCGAAGCTGTAAATATCCGCGAGATTTACAACGCATTATACAACGACGAGTGCGCCGCCGACAGCAACAGCGACAGCGATAGCGACAACGACAACCAAAGCCACAAAGTTGACGCCGCTGCTCCGTCGCTGCCACTGCCACTGGCACTGCCGCCGCTGCTGCCGTTGCCATTGCCGTCACCAATCGTAGCGTATCCGTAACGTTTAATGCGAATCGTCGGACAGCATTCGAGAGACTCGCATAACGCACCCGCAGATGCCGCTAATCCGCGTATACAGTGCACTGCGCGAATTCTGATGCCGTTGCAGATGCAGATGCAGATACAGATATAATATCTGCCAGATAGTACTGCAATGTGAAAAGCGCGCGCGTGTTTCACAAACAAATCGAACAAACAAACAAACTTAACAACAACAATAATAATTCCCAATTGTGTCTGTGCCACTAATTTCGTTGCAATATAAACAACAACAACAACAGGAACACAGCAAACAAAAGCAACTATTTAGAAATAAACTAAAGTCCGTGGCCAAGTAACCTAAGACAAAGGACCGCATTCATGTGTAGTATATATATGTAGTATATACACGCATATGTACATACTATACATGGCCATATAGCCGCCACTCCGTCTCCACCACCGTCATCGTCATCGACATCAGCATCGACATCAGCATCGTCAGCAACCGCCGCCAGTTGGTTGTCGTGCTCTACTTGTGCCCATTGTGGCCAGCAAACTCTTGTCATCGTAACTCACAATTGAATTGTTCCTTTGTTCTGTCGATGTCCCAAACATCGCAACGCCGCCGATTTCATCTTCTCCAGCGACAAAGCCGGACCTAAAGACAAAGTCAGAATCAGAATCTGCACCAGCAATTTCGCATAATTGGCTCCAAAAGTCGCGGCTCATCCTCGTCTCTCTATCTCTATCTCCCTCTCTCTCTCTCTCTCTCTCTGTCTCTCTCCCTCGCACTGTCCTCCCCTCTCCCTTGCTGGGTGTCTGTTATCCGCTCCCTGTTTCTCCGGCGTTTGTAGTTCACCGCCAGACCAAACGTCGCCATTATGCTGGTACCGCCGGACATGATGGCTGCCCAAACGCGCATGATCTATCAGATGAATCGATTCTGTGCCGAACGCGTGCAGGCGCGCATGTTCAAGACAGCGACCGCCATACGCGAGATCTGCAAAATTGTGCAGGACATACTGAAGGAGGTGGAGTTGCAGGAGCCTCGTTTCATCTCCAGCCTCGTCGAATGCAACGGCAGGTAAGTACATTTTCTCTCACTCCCATGCCATTGAATAATGTACGCTTGAACTACTCTCCGCCCCATAAATGTTTGCTCCCCAAAGTTGAAGTTATACTTTTTCAGTCTTTTCAATATTAAATAAAAATCAGATGTAAATAAAAATCACAGCGTTTAAAAGGATATTAATTTCTCGACCTACATACGACCTCATTAATTCCGAGCTAGGTTGAATTTTTGTTGACGAAAATCAATATATTCTGATTAGGAATACCATTTATCTATAACTTTACCTTATGGCCAATCAGTACAAGAGCGCTCACAGTCCATATCCAAGTTAAATACTTTTTCTGTAGTATTCTGACCGGGCTTCATAGCTCCAATCCACCGTCCATAGAGCTGATCGAGTCAATACCTTATGGCCAATCAGTATAAGAGTGCTCCAAATAAAATACTTTTTCTCGTAATATTCTGACAGGGCTTCATAATTCCACCGTCCATGGAACTGCTCGAGTCAAACAGACAAAGTTCGTATCATTATTCGTTCCAATATTTCTATTGTAGTCTCAGATCAACAATCCAGCAATCGTTTCTGTGTGTTAGCGTATGCCTTGCCCAATAATAACGTATATCGGCACCTCTGATCCCATCCGCTGCGATCACATGCGGGCCTCACAATGCAATGACCTGACAATCAACTGACAATGACGTTGCACGTTTCTTGTAACAAGGCCTGCTATCGAGAGCATGGCCAGAGGCAACAGAGCGAGGCATCGGCATCGGCATTGGCACCACGAAGGGACAGAGGCGATGTTGACAGCTCAGGAGCTGCTGGAATTACGTGCAGCTCCCGTTGGCGCAGCAAATAATGAAGTTAATTCGTGAACACTCGTATATCAGCATGATGATTTACAAAAATCGAGTGTCTAATAAAGCGCTCGTTTTCTTCCCTCTCTCTAGATTCGAAGGCGTTGAGGTGGTCTCGCCAAATGAGTTCGAGATTGTGCTCTATCTTAATCAGATGGGCGTCTTCAACTTCGTCGATGATGGCACCCTGCCCGGATGTGCGGTTCTCAAGCTAAGCGATGGTCGCAAGCGTTCCATGTCCCTTTGGGTGGAGTTCATCACAGCTTCGGGCTACTTGTCATCGCGCAAGATACGCGCCCGATTCCAGACTCTAGTCGCGCAGGCGTGCGACAAGAGCATCTACAGGGACATGGTCAAGATGATTGGAGACACCACCGAGGTGAAGTTGCGCATACGGGAGCGCTTCGTCGTCCAGATAACGCCTGCGTTCAAGTGCTCCGGCATTTGGCCACGCTCAGCAGCCCATTGGCCGATGCCGCACATCCCTTGGCCGCACCCAAACATTGTGGCTGAGGTCAAGACAGAGGGCTTCGATTTGCTCTCCAAGGAAAGCATTATAATGCAGAACAAGAACAACAATGCAGCCAGCATGGAGGGTGATGCCTGGGTGCTGAGTTTCTTTGAAGCCGAGAATCGTTTGCTCCAAGGTAAGTGCCAATCATTTTCTCACTAGTATCTCATGAATCTTTCAGTTTCTTCAATCGGTAAAAATCGCATTATTTGAAATAACACTTGTATAGACTTGCAGGCGAATTCGATTAAGCATTCGAGTCTGCAAGTTACTCTTGTATTTTGGTTAGATATTCAAATATTTCAATGCTTTTGCCCTAAGCTGAATCGGCCGGATGTATACACGAATAGCTGAAACAGATAATTCAATATCGTCCAATTTTTTACAATGAATCATTTGGTTCCCAGGGCAGCTCTATTTAATAGGAAAGAAGTTTGTGAAAGAGGGTGACTCCTGAACAGATTCTCTACGGTGATATGGTGATGTAAGATCTATTAATTTTAGTGTTGATCTATAAGAAGGCCAGCGACTGTGCGGTTCCCAATATTGACTCCGCACTTGTTAGTTTTAAATTTTTTATTCGGTACAACTACTTAATCATTGATGGGCACACTCCATAAAATATCTGTGCTTTGTCAGAAACGAACCAATTGGTCATAATTAGAAATACCACACTGAAGTATAAATATTTGCAGATAATGAGGCATTCACCATCCGGAGCTGCACGCTCCCTTACAAGTATATTGTTTCCAGAAGCCACTGTTGCGAATGAGAATTGAAAAGGCTGATTTATATTTTTGGAGACAGCAAGACACACTAATAAATTACATTTTAATTAATAATATTTAATTATTTAATAATTTAAATTTGTTATTTGGAACCCAGCTATGCTTATCGGAGAACCGCAGGCTTGCCTGTAATATTTAAATGCTATCTACTAGTATATATGTTTACTATATGTATGGACGTGTATTATCTGAAATCTTACCGTTACATTCATCTCATGAAAGGTGGCTGCCGACGTCGCTGCCTCAGCATGCTGAAGACGCTGCGTGACCGACACTTGGATCTGCCCGGCAATCCGATCAGCGCCTATCATCTGAAGAATCTGCTGCTCTACGAGTGTGAGAAGCATCCTCGTGACTTTGAATGGGACGAGAGTTGCATTGCGGATCGCATCAATGGCATCTTCCTGCAGCTGATCTCCTGCCTACAGTATCGGCGATGTCCCCACTATTTTCTGCCCAGCCTGGACATGTTCAAGGGCAAGTCCCCCAGCGCCCTGGAACAGGCGGCCAAGCAGGTTTGGCGTTTGACGCGTGAGATGCTCACGAATGCAAATGCCTTTGAGAAGTTGTAAGTTGCCAGTAGTTGTGTGTGTGTGTGTGTTGTTTCTCTCTGTGTGTGTGTGTGTGTGTGTTTGTGTGTGTTTGTGTTGAGTGTGCTTGTGATGTGTGAGATGAAGTGAAAATGATTCAAGGTGCTAAAAATTTCCATTGTCGTGGTCGTCGCAGTCGCTACTGCCGTTGCCGTTGCCGTTGCGATTTGGCTGCTGAGATAAAAGGCTGCCATTTTCCAGTGTGCGAGGGCCAAACAATCGCATACAGAAGGCGCGAATCTGAGAGCGTGCGTGAATGTACACGTATGAGTGTGTGTGTGTGTGCCCAACACAAAAACAACTACAACAATATGCCCAAGTGCTAATGCAAAGATACAAGATAAGAGTCGCAGCAGCACTCGACAATTCGTTCTACCCTCACATTTTGCCTTGCCAGTGCCAGTGCCAGTCCCAGTCCCCAGCTCCAGTCCCATTCCTTCCCATTCGAGCGTGCTGGCTTATCCTGCAAATATTGTTTTTAATAACTCACAATACGAGTATGTGATTTCATCTCTCTCGCTCCCTCATTGCCCTTTTATTCCCGAAGAAAACAAAACAAAAAACAGAAAGGCAACACACACAAAATAATAATAACAACGCTCATACCAATAATAATAATATAAAAAAGAGCATTAGCCAGCGGCTCCTTTCACAACAGCTCAAGTGTGAAATTTGCATTCTACTCGCACTACTTACATACATACATACATACATACATATGTACATACTTACACGTATGTACATGTGCGAGTACGTGCAGAGGATTTTCTTTACATCTGTATACGATAGATAATGCTAGACATACGTACATATATGAATATTATTTTGCACACACTTAGTGCAAGCAAAAAAAAAACAGAGATAAAACAGAACAAATAATAATAATTACTATTGTAATGAAAATCAGTGCAATTATAATATTTTAAGTTTAACAAAGTTAAAGCGAAAAGAACGATGTACTTTGGTCATTGTTAATGGCTCCATGACACTGACTGACGAATTGACTGAAGAGGTGAATTGTAGGAACCGCAAATATTGATTATTTCGTTTTTTAAGGAGAAAAAAAGCATTCACTTATAGTAGCTTTGAGAAAGCGACGATTGTACCATATCCTTGTTTTAGGATTTTCCATGCATATTCACCATGATTGAAAATAAAAAAATTTATTCGTTCTCTCACAATATAATGATTTATTTTGACTTATCTTTTACAACTCAAAAAATAAAACGTACAAAATTCTTTAAGTTTTATTTTGTTGATAAAAAAAACTGAAGTTGTAATTGTCCCTGCCTTTTTCATAGGGAATACACGTAAGGACAACAAATATATATAATATATATATATATATATTTGTTGTCTTAAACAATAAGCCAAGACAAACCCCCTAAAGAAAAGTTTTGCGCTAAAAAAACATCCTTAGAAATATATTTTCAGGCAAAATTTTAACCTGAGTCTTATATCGAGTATTGATCAAAAAAATAAAACTTAAAGAATAATCATTATTATTTTGTGAGTTTTTTTTTTTAGTATAACTCAAATATTTTTAAAGTATAACTCAAAATTGTACTATGAGGGAATGAATAAAACTAAAAAATAATCATTATTTTGTAATTTTTATAATAACACTTATAATGATTACAGTCTTTGGTAAATTGGACTTCAAACGATAACAGTTGAGTGTGTCGAATAGCTAGCTACAGTAATGCCTATTCTAGTCAAATGTTTGGTCAAGTGTCATGGAACCATAATTGGATTTTCATCACTTGGAGATATGTTTAGGATATTTAAAAGTTTTATTTGATAAGCATTCACAACAATATTGAATTGAACCTTTTTTTCTTTTGAATTCAAATAATAAAAATATGAAATGGTAATTTCAATGCATCTGTTAATAATCCGTGTTGTAAATACATATTGGATTTCATATTTGATTTTGATTTCAACGTGGCCAGCATGTAATATATTTAGTGACTCATTCCGATTGAGCTAATTTGAACCAGCGGTGGAGCTACTAGTTCACAGCAACATCCCAAAATCACGGCGCACCAAGTATTATGAAAAATTTACTACGGATAAAATGCGCCGCAATTCATATCTAAAGCAATTGTTTGATGAAACCATTCAATGCAATTGTTTTGGGAATGACTGTTTTCTCCAATTTGTGAACAATTAGTTAAAGCACGTCTCACGAACGTAAGGAAGAAGATAAAAACATACATAGTTAGAAATAATGTTGGGAATTATTCGTTGTTCCACCTAAGATTTCCGACCCAGACCGCGTGCTGAAACCGAAAGTCCAGTCCAAAAATTTTTTTAACAAATCGTGACTTTAAATCTTCCATCAACCGTCCAAAACCGTTTCAAAATAGCTAGATCGCTAGCTAAATTATTATTAAATCCAAGAATTGTTTGAATTTTTAAACAGCAATTAATTTCTTTGGAATTTAAAAAGAAAAGAATCGTTGGCCCCGCTAGAAAGCCATTGATTTTATGTAACCCTTAGATTATAATTATTTATTATTCTCTTACCTGTAAACTCCCTAAATACTTATAATTTATTGATTCCTGAAATTGAACATTTTCAATTAAACTTGGAAGATGAAAACCGCAGAATTATTTGCAAAGGCTTGCGAGTTTCATGAAAACCTGAAACCGATTTCGGCGCAAATGTATTTCATCATCTTTCCTACACCAGAGATAATCGCAATTATCATCATCATTCGTAAACAATTTGAATAAACCCAATACATAACCTACTAACATATTCTTGTTTGCAATATAAAATTATTAACTATAGTACAATTCCCTTTTGGAGCGGCAGACTCTTATTTGCCAAGTTGAGAAACAAGGAGCCTCATTAATGCTGCTGACCATTTTCTGGGCTCCACCACTGCTGACAGTTGAATTAATGTTATTATTATTGCCATTGTCGAGCAATCAAAATTTATTTCTTCCTCTCCTGAAGCTGTTGCGGCGAAAAATGTATCAGGACGAATCGAATCGCATCGAGTGCAAATGGGAATGGAGCAGACAGAGGATCGACAGTCCTGTGGCCAGAAAATCGAGCACAGAGTAAAAGACCAGAAACCAGACAACACTCGAACATATTACACAGACAGCATCGTGCGCTCCCGAGACAACTGAACATCATTTTTATTACCCTTATTTATTGTTATGTGAGTGCCAAGTGGTTTGCCTGCTTTGTGTCCTGCCCCGGCAGTTCCCGGAGTGCCAATCGTTTCCTTTAAGCTGAAGACTGCACTAGTTCTTCTTCTCAACTAGTTACTACTCTATCCTTTACAGCAGTGTGTGTGCCCCAAAAACAAAAGTAAGTATGTTCCGATATATGCTTGAATATTTAGGTAACGAATAATTAAAAACAAAAATGAGTGAAGGACTACTGCAGTAGAGAAGGTACACACTTATATCAAGCACCAATTTTGCTTCAAATATTGCAATATTTGAATACGAACAGTGCAACAGTTTCTTGAGAGCAGAACACAGAAGATAGACAGCTTATCAGATTAATCATTCGAAGATAAAAAGGTAACGCAGACACTGAGTAATGCAACAAAACAAAGAGCTATGTAATTGAACAAGTAGTAGGTGTTTTCTCAAATTGTGCCCAATCCAGAGGATTCTTAAATAATTTAAGAAAGCATTAAAGACAAATCAATAAATAAATATACTCGTACATACAAGTATATGAGTTATATTTATAAATCAATCGTTTTTTCTTATCCAAATAAATACAAATAAAATAAATAAATAAAATTATGAAGTATAAAATGATTTTTAATAAACTTATATTTACTTGTATATAGTATTTAAGCATTTTCAAAGAGTTCTCTGCGACACCTAATTCACCAAACAGTCAGGCCACAAGCTAGTTGGGAATTTCTAGTAATGGCCAAGCAAAGGCTGAAGCTTTTGTGCTGTGCTAGCTCTCTAGTCGCTTCCCTGCGCTCAAGGAACTGGTTCGCTTAAGGTTCGTTTCTGGAAACCCACTCCACAGTTCCACACTGGCACATTCCAGTTGGCAGAGAGCGGCAGAATAAAAATAAACAAAGGGAATAAAACAAGAGGAATACACAAACAAAAAACAAAGTTTTAGCGAATGTAATCGATATTTTCACGTACTGGCAGAACAGCAACTGGACCTTCGCTCCGATAAAAACGAAGAAGAAGAATGCGATTACGAAGATGAGGATGAAGATGAGGTTGGCGATGATGATGCTGCTGCTAGAGAGCTGACAAAAGGTGTACGGTTCGTGGCTGAGTAATGGAAAGTGCCGTTGAAATCCATTATGCTTTTATAGTCAATGTCAGCACAAAAGCATAATGCATAGCAACAACAACAATAGCAACGATGCCAAAATAACAAATTATGCCCAAACACGAAAAGCAAATGCGCATGTTGCTTGCCTTAGCCTTCGCCGCCGCTGCCCCAACCCCGTGATAAATTCAAAATATCATATTACGCAGAGACAATGCACGCCCAGCTGATTAGTACGAGTCCACAAATTGTGGGCTGCCGAGTGCCGGGTGGGGTGCAGAGGAGGGGGTGGAGGCTGCACAGCTCATCTCAGAGAATTGCATGGGAAACTAAACATCAGGTGACTGACTGGTGGCCTAAGCTGGTTGCTCACTTAGCCAAAGGCATTGGCATGGGCGTGGGCGTGGGTGGGGCGGGCCGGGGGTTCAGGTCTGGGTCGAGCACGTGACCAGTCATGAGAAGCGCGGCAGGCTGCGCCCATTCGCACAGCGATAAGGCACGCTTTAAAATCCACAAAATCCAAAGAGAGAGGGAGAGAGAGCGCGTGTGTCGGCTGGCTTTGACAAATTATATTTCAAATGCAATTAAAAGTGTGCGCCACACACACACACACACACACACACACACACACACACACCTGAGGGCACAAAGTTCGCCTGCTATCCTTTCTTCTTCCTTTTTTTTGGGTCTGTCACAACAACTTTGAAAATATTTCCGTTGTCAAGTTTTTTGTTTTGCCTCTGGCTTTGATTTCTGTCCTTCTGCATAGTGTTTTATTTTATTTGTTGTTTTGTTTTGGTTGTTGACATTTATGCGCCTTCGCCACCCCACCCTCCGCTCAGTTGATGCCCACTGGCATTTCGACAACCGGATTACGGGCATTGTCAACGTCTGTTGTCCTCGTCCTCGTCCTCGTCCTTTGACTGTGCCAGCAGTGTGTCACTCATTCGGTTCCATTTCACTTCCGTCCACTGCTTCGGTTTGTGGCTTTCCTTTGTTTTAATTCTTCACTAATGATATTTAAATTAGTGCTCTAAATGACCGCAGGCTCTGTTCTCTCATTCGCACTCCCTTTGACATTTCATTTCCTTTGTTTGTAGTTCCTAGTTGGCACGCCCACAGCCGCAGGGATATCCTTTTGTTGACGTCATGCATGTCATAGGTATATGGCAGGACTACTCTCCTACTTTCTGACATATCATAATATCCATATATTCAAAAGTGTTTATATTTTAAACATTTAATGAACAGCTTTAGTTAATCAGTCATTGATTGATCTGAGGAACGATTCCACGTTTTTCTATAAGCCTCTTAATACAGCCAGATTAACAAAGTTAATACTAAGCGTCAGCTCTGATATTACTAAATGGAGTGGCATATAAAGAACATTTTGTATCGTTCAGTCAGAATCCACGCCGGACTTTAAGCGTATAACTGAAGGTTCTTCAAGAAAGTATAGCTTAATCGACTGATCAAATTTTGTTTGTTAAACAGGTCTAATCGACTAAGATGAAGGTCGAAATTCCAGACCCGCTTTTTACATGTTAGGAGAAAGAAAAAGAATTAGTTTAAAAACTGGCAAAGATTACTATCTTAGACAGAAAAGATATCTTTATAGTCCAAAATGTTATAACACTGAGAAAAAATATATAATGAAATAATTAGGCTTTTTTAATATGATTTCCAATAAGCTTGCTCTGCATATGAATAAATAAAAAACCACATATCTACGTGTAGTTTGCTAAGCCTAGCTGTTATGGCTCATAAGTTCAGAACGAATATATGGATGCCTCTATCGATTTGTCTCGTCATGTTTCCTTAACCGGGGGTCTGCCACGCCTCCTGTCTGTTACAGACTTGCATTTGGCGTTTTGATTTTCTAGTGTACCCT